CCAGGACCCACTGTATAAGGTAAAAGATAGTCAGAAAGCTATGGATGATAAGTTTTACCATACCCATATTCCATGATTTCACTTAATTTTTGTTGTATGGAGATATTACATATTCTAGAATCCAGTGTGCTTATTTTATTACTGTAGTAAATAAAATATGCATCACATGAACCAGCCTGCCATGTTTAAAAAAAAAAAAAAAAAGGATATTTTTAAAGTAACTATTTTATTACAAGGGACATTCTGATTTTAATGATTTTACATTAGAAAATATTATAAAAATCTAAAGGAGAAATACTCTTATGTGAGAAACAAAAAGTGACATTTTATTGTAGAGAAAGTTAGAGGGGAAATTTCTCAGGCCAGATTTCCTTGGCAGCAACAACAGAATCTCTTCATGTTTGGAACATTTTTGCAGAGCTATCACATTTATAGTTCACAGAAAACACTGAGGGGAAATCCTTCACCTCACACCTTTCACATGGATGCTACTTTAGGAAAATCTGCTTACTTGCACCTTAATAGGGTTTGGACCAGAAGAAGAAAGAATGATAAAACTGTTTTATAGGATCTGTAGGGAATGTACAAGTGTTACAGGAGCTGAGAAGCAGCTTTGCCCAGGGATGAAGATTATAAGCAAGTGAGTGAATTATCTTTGGCTCAGTCTGTCATCTATAATGACAGAATAAATGAAAATCAGGAGAATGTACGCAACACACTGGAGATAGTGCCTGGTAGTCAATATTATTTATTGTATTGTTATTAATGTCTACAGTTAAGAATGATTGGAATACACAATAAAGCTTATTCTTACACAGGAAGAATATACATGTGTATGTTTACCCTCCAGTCATAAATGTGCAAGGTATTACATCAAATTCTAAAAATGTAAAAAGAGTTAGAAAAATTACACTCTCCCAAGAAATATATCACCTTGCAGAAACTGTAGATATATATCACAAAAAGTAAACCTGACGTAGGCAAATATCATTCAGGCAAAAAGTGCTACAAAAATTTAAAGGAACTCATCACTCTGAGAGTCTTTTTATAAATTTTTTTGAAGTTTCCTTTATAATATATAATTGGAACAATTTTTTTTAAAAGTTGTATCTCTGGGGCTCCTGGCTGGCTCAGTTGGTTCAATGTCTGACTCTTGGTTTCGGCTCAGGTCATGATCTCAGGGTGTGAGATCCAGCCCCACACTGGGCTCCAAGCTCAGTGCAGAGCCTGCTTGAGGTTCTCTCCCTCTCCCTCTGCCCCTCCTCCCACTCATGCACACTTGGTCTCTCTCTCTTTCCAAAATAAATAAGTAAAATCATAAATAAATAAATAAATAAATAAATAAATAAATAAAATAAGTAAAAGTTGTATCTCTGACTCTAATAGGTTTATAGACTATAAAAGTGACAAACAAATGCCAGTACAAGTAGCTAGGAAAGCATCCCAGCATTACTTTTGTAAGATGGTCTACAGATGTTAATATGCCTAGTAAAGATTGTAGGAGAGTAAAGATGGGTCAGAAAGCAAGCAACCATCCTCAATGCAAATAGCATTCCTGCAATCATTCTAATTTAACTTCCAGCCCCATTATTCCACCAAAGAGCTTTCAGAGAGGTCTTAATGAGATCTTCATGCTACCGAATCCAGGAGAGCAAAGAACCAAGCCACGGAGCTACATAGACTGAGCAATATTTAAAATCATACGGAGAATTGACTCAGTTGAGACAACACTGCTACCTCTGCTGAGCACAGAAACTTAAACATGGGTTGAGGGTTATTATATTGATCACATAATTCTACTTAAAATACTTAAATTGCTTCTGCTGGTATTCTGGAATTCTTCCTGAGTTAAGGACTCTGCCTACCAAAACTGGCACTGTGTTTATGTGAAGATAAGCCTCCCATGGATTTTACAGTTTAGGTAGCAAATGCAGAAAAATCCACAATGTGTACCTCTCCATAACCTATGAGCCCTGTGAATGTTTACTGAACACTTATTCCTTGGAGCTTTCCAGAGAGTTTTTTAACTTCTTGATTCAATAATCTTAGTGGTCCATTTCCAAATCACTCAGAAGTTTGTCAAAGGTAAAGTACTATGCAGCTATCAATGCTCCTATAATAACAGAATATCCTGCATCTGCTTTGCACTCTCAGAAAGATATAGAAGGTATAATTGGAGTATAAAATTTAAAATTTATCTCGAGCATTTGGTATTCCTATGACCCTTCTCTGATACTCAAAAGTAAGTGTCTGTCTACCATGAGCATAGTCCTACCCATCCACCTGAGGTCCACTGTCACCAAGTAAGAAATCTCTATCTTAAACAAGACAGGACTAATGAGAATCAGGTATGATAAGGACTCCTATCCTCTCTTAATGGCCCTTGAAACCATGCCTTTAGACTTGTTCACACACAGGATCAAAATAATCAACCTGTTTTATATAAATTCTTGTATCTTAATTTCAATCATTAAATTATATTTTAAGTAATAGGATTTTTTGTTAATTGGTAGTAAAGGCCACCTAAATTCAATATAGTAAATAATGTCAGAGGGCTTATCAAATCACTTAGTCATTTAGAAAAACACCCTAAGTTTTAATTATTAATTTTTCTCCAAAACTTTCTCACAAAATAAAATCAGTTTGAAGCTATTTGTCAGGATTCTCTATAATATGAATCTAAATTGAGTGAATTAAATACAATACAAATAAAGATTACTTTAGTCTCTCAATGACAATATAAATCTTCCTGTAGGATCTGTTATCAACTGGCATGATTATGGCTATAAAGAACGAGCTCATTGACTCTTGAAAGCAAATTACTAATTAAATGGTTTTAGCTTGTTTTCCTTGAAAACTCTCCAAAGCATATACATTTCCACTAATCACAGTATGATAACTGATAAAACTTTTAACAAGCACTTATCTCACAGGATTTTCTACCTATCAACTTTTACGAAATCACAATGTTGAACTAGTCATTTTGAGAAAAGTAACGAAGCTCTTTTTATAGATACTAATAGCACTAACAGTTAGCAGGTAAACTTTTCATTAAAAGGAACCTCCTATGGGCAGTCGAACTTGACCAGGCTTTCATTTCCATGCTTCCTAAATACACAAACTCTTGATTTATGCTAATAGTTAGATCTACAGTTAGTGAATCTCTCCGCAAAGTCTTTATATCCAGTTTTCTCTTACATTCTCTAAAGCAGTTCTTCTCAAAGTGTTCCTGAACCAGCAGTGTCAGCATTATGTGAGAACTTGCGAGAAATACAAATTCTCAGGTCCACTCTAGAACTGAATCAGAACCTGAGGTTGGGCCCAGAATCATGGGTTTCAACAAGCCCTGCAGGTGATTATGATGCTAGCTAATGTTTGAGAATCTTTGCTCTAGAGCAAAAAGATATTCTCTTGCTATTCTAAAGAAAAGGTTTTAATCCCTTACTTTAGAGCAGTAAAATCTTTTGCAAGTCCTCTGTCTCTAAGACCAAGACACCATTATACTTTATAAAATATATGGGAATTCTTTACAGATGGTAACAATTTAAAACCTTTTTTCATACAGGGGCGCCTGGCTGGTTCAGTCGGTTAAGCGGCTGCCTTCAGCTCAGCTCATGACCCCAGGGTCCTGGGATGGAGCCTGGAGTTAGGTTCCCTGCTCAGTGGGGAGTCAGCTTTTCCCTTTCCCTCTACCCCTCCCCTCTCGTGCACTATCTCTGTCTTTCTCTCTCTCTCTCTCTCTCTTAAATAAATAAATAAAATCTTTTTAAAATTTTTGTTTAGTGAAGTTTCTAGAATATGGCATATTTTCAATAAATGTTAAAAAAGAGATGCATATTTGGGTTTTAAAAGAAAAATGTGGTTATTTAAAGTAGTATGCTATTACAGAAATAAAAATGTCTTCTCTGTCATAATTTCAACAGGTTCTTCCCTATAATCAAAGTCCAAGAAAATAGGGCTGATTCTCACTTTTGCCCCATAGTATTTGATGGGTCCAGAACTTGTGCCATAGGATTTCAAATGCCTAAAACCTCTAGAACCATGACTACATGATGAATGAATGAATGAACTAAACAGGTACAGATATTTCTACACAGAGGCCTTCAAAAGTAAGCTGGTGAGATTATCCCAAAGAATAGACAGACAGGAACTGATTTATTTTGCCAATAGTCCCTGTGGCATGGCCTGTTATATCAGAAAGGCTAAAAACTTCAAAAAAGAGAGAGAAGAAATGGATTTATGAAGAAATGCACCTCATTGAAATATATACAGTTTTAAAGCTGTAGCTTAAAGTATTGTACCAAAATTGATTTTATTAAGTTGGTGGTCCATATAAGTAGAGAGAGAAATAAACTTGCAGTTGACAGATTTCTATTCATAAAAAAAAAAAAAAGCACCTCAGTTTCTACATAGAAACATAATAGATACCAAAGGTAAATCTTTGGGCAAAGCAATATTTTTTCACTCAGGAAATAGGGATCCAGTTTATTGTTATTACATGCATCATAAGTCTGTGGGTCACGAATTTTCCTGTTTCCTTCAGGAGTTTTGTAAAGTCCATATTTGGGGTGTGAGGTAATTAGTGTGATTCCCACTTCATAGCAGATCTCCTACTGGAATGCTAATGTCCTGAGACTGTTTAAAATTTAAGGAGAGAAAATACTTTTATAGCACAACATAGAACTCACATGAATAATTCATATTTCACAGATGTCACTGTCATTGTGGAAAAAAACCACTTTATAGTCTTTTTTAATGCACTTAGAATGAGAGACCATTGTTGTCAAATTTTCAGTGATATTAAGAGGGAGATCATGATACATCAAAGAAAGAAGAAATATCACTGCATGAGTTAATAAAAATAATTGGCCGAAATAAATAATAGAAGTATTTATAGTAAATCTATCTACAGCCCAACAGCTGGCTCAACACATTAATCAGTTTCACAGAGCCGTTCTAATTTGAATTCATTTCCATAAGAGAAAATCTGAATGAAATACCTGAGACTGGGCATTAATATTGGCTCCTTCCTTGACAAGGACTTTGACAACTTCTGCTTGTCCGGCCAAAGACGCAATGTGAAGGGCCGTGTTTCCCTTCTGTTTTGGAGAAACGAAATAGGCAATGTCAGAGGTTTCCAAATTTTGTAGAAAATCAAATGTACAGGCACTTTCAGTTTGGCTAATGAATTACTTCAAGTGATTAAAGCTTGTCCTTCTATCAAGATAGTAGCCCACCTTGGGAAGGGATGGTTGTCTGCCATCAAAACACTGAGCCTCCCATAATTGCATTTTCCTTTTCTAGCCTTCACAGCTCTAGGGCAGTGTTTAAGAACAGAAGACTGAGTACTTACGGAATCAAATTTGGGATTTGTGCACATGTGTGTGTGTGTGACAATTTATTGCCTATAGTAAAGGCAACCTAACTTTTCTTTGCAATTGCCAGAGATATTTTGTGTTTAAATTTCCACTGGAATCTCTGTATATTGTGAGCAGGGCCAGTCTACACTTTGGCAACTATGCATGCATGAGGTGTTAGAAATCCAGGTTAACTGGCCATATTCCTAATTTATTCCGGCGCTCTTTTTGTCTCTCCCTGATCAGAGTAATGCCCCAGCTGGAGGCTTGAGGGCCTGAAGCTACTCTGCTTCTCTCACAACCATATTGTCACACTCAAGCCCTGGTCAACAGGCTTGATTCTGACTGGCTACTGGTTTTCTCCACCTTAAAATTTTACCTTCCAAAGACAAGGATTTGTCACCACTGACGATATTTTTAAAAAATATCTCTTGTTTCTGAAATGATGCCCCAAAGACAAGATTCAAATATATTTTAGTAAAAGGAATATCAACAACAACAAAAAAAACAACAGCTTCTAACATATCAAACACCTTGTACAGTTCTTTAAAAAGGAGTCCAATTTCTCTACATACACACATTAGGGTGACAAAATCTAATTTTCCCAATAATTCAATCCATGATTCAAACTCTTCTCCATTACAGTATAAAAGATTCTGCATATTCTCTTACCAAGTTAAATGAATACAATAAAAGATATAACAAAGCATGAAAATAACTTGTCCATTTCCACTGAGAAGTTTACTACATCAATTTATATTTTTTTAATCAATTAACTTTAGGAAAATAGGTGTTATTGTCTATAAAGGATTATATCAATCTATTCTCTCTGTGAAAAAAGACAAAATATTAGAAACCAGGTACACAGAATTGTTCAGTCTCATGTTTGATAAAACCCTAAAATGAACCAATTCCAACTTTCTACAAAGTTTAGTAATAAGAATTGCATATCAGTTCTGTATTGTCAAGCATCTTGGTGTCCCAGCAAACCTCTGCAATGTTTAGCCACAGAAAACAACTTTAAGTCATTTCCTCTGTTCTGAGGAAATAAATTCTTCCAGCACAAATATTACCTTGGTGGCAGAATCCACAGAGGATCCTCTTCCCAGCAGCTCCTGAACCAGGCCCACATGACCCTCCTTGGCAGCCAGGTGGAGAGCATTGAGTCCATTCTGAAAGAGAAGCAAACAAGACTTTAGAAGTAGAATAATTGTTGTGAACAGTAGCTGATTTCCATGCATGGATCTAACCCAGAGACTAGACAGACTTGGTTGTACTTTTTCTTTTTGCATTAGCTTGAGATTCGTCAGACAGACGAATTTCCAGTGTTAGTGATTCACAGAGGAAAAGAGGTAAATATTCATTAGAAATGTGGATTTGGCAACCTTATCCCAGCAAACTTTCTTTTTTTTTTTTTTAACTAAGAAATATCTAAATAATTTTCTAATGAGAAAAAAAAAAAAAAGAGCAACTCTGTATCATTTGTTGCACCGGCCAGAAATAAAATTCTTTCCAGTTTCTAGAATACAGAGTTTAAACAAATCTTACTTTTTAACAAATGGGAAGGAAATGTCTTTTTCATAAAAAGTGATTAAAAAGCCGTAGGACAATTCTAAGGTAAAACAACTCTGCAATAACAACTTTGTACTTAAAAGACATTTAGTACCATATCACTAATTTGCCTTTAGGTTTTTTCCTCCCAAATTTTATATTTTCCTTATAATATGATAATACTGTAATAACTGATTCACATTTATCTAACTTCTTGAAAAATTACTCACCAGAGCACTGAAAAAACTCGTTGACAATTTTACTAAATATGGTATCTACATACATTATATTGATCTCCCCCAGAAATGACTTAATCGGCCAATCAGGAATTCCCTGATCAGTACCAATGAGGTGATCTGTCACATGGGTCCTCTCCATTCCCCAAAGGAAGATGAGGTAATCTGAATGTTAAGACCCCTTGCTTTTTCCCTAAGGGAAAGTGACCTTGCCCGGAACATTACTTTGCTCTTGCTAAGAATTTTCTTGCCCCACCTTCCTTCCTATAAAAACCTTCCATTCAGTACTACTTCTTCGAGTTTCCCAATACTTGCTAGATGGGATACTGCCCTTTTCACTAACTGTTTAATAAAGCTAACTAGATCTTCAAATCTAATCAGTTGCATTTTGTTTTTTAATACATAACAGGAAACCAAATACATATACAAACTCCTGGATGACAAATTTCCTGTTTGTGGTCACTATATATCCTATACTGAACTTTTTTCTTAGGAAGGCATTCAGGCTTTTATATCTGGTTCAAAAACAAAGAAATGTTTGTTTTTCTCCTTTGCAAACATGGTCCTGGTTTTCAACACCATTTCACTTTGAGCAGCAGATATAGTCGTACTATCAATACAGGCATGTCATGGTTTCCATATATTACTGGCACAAAATGATAAGAATTAAAGTGCTTTCAAAATTTGTTTTTCCTAGAAAATTTAGCAAATGAATCAACAATTTAACAGAAATTTGAAAGACAGTTCTAGGACTCTGTTCTATCAGCATGCAAATAATGTTAACTGTGTTAACTATATACAAGTGATTCAACAAATATAAATTATTCTCCACTCTCTTCACCTGACCAAAGTTGTTTTCTGAGTTATTCAACACCCAGTCTCATTGGTAACAGGCAGTACTTAATTTAAATAAACATAAACTACTTCACAAATAGTAAACTCATTATAACACAATGAAGGGAAAGCAGTGTGATCGTAGGTAGGAATTTTTAAGGAGATAATCAACCCGATATTTTAGACCCTTTAAGTTTACTGTTATCTTATTATTCTATATATTTTTCAGCATGGCATTTGTTTAGTTTTCCTAAGTTGCTTATGGGAAGAAATGTTTTACTCTGTGTCATGAGCCATTACATAAATGTCTTTCGAGTTGGATCTGTTATTTCAGTCAGTAAGAAACAAATGTTAAAATCACTGAGAGTTGTTAGATGGCCTAACAAATTAATACTTATACATTTTTTTAAATATTTTATTTATTTATTTGAGAGACAGCATTAGCACACACATGATCAGGAGGCAGGGCAGGACGGAGGCAGAGGGGGAGGCAGAGAGAGAATCTCAAGCAGACTCCCCGCCCAGCCTGGAGACCACCTGGGGCTCAATCTCAGTACCCAGAGATGATGACCTGAGCTGAAACCAAGAGTGGAGTTGGATCCTCAACTGACTGAGCCACACAGACTCCCCCTAGCAAACTTATATTTAAAGAATTTTTCATTTTCAGATGTCTATTATAAGAAGTTGCCCTTCCTTTTCCTCAATTTTTACCTCTGGTCCACCTGAAGTTTCCACTTGAGAGTTTGAAAGGACCTTTGAGACATCTAATTCCATCATTTACCTAAGACTCTGCCCACCCCATGTCTGACACACAGTATGTACTCCATAAATACTGTTGGATGAACGAATGAACCTAAAGAGAGCATAGAGGTAATATTTTGGTAAAGATTACATTTGCAAATAATCAAAACTATGTTTTTTTTAAGATTTTATTTGAGAGAGAGAAAGAGAACAATTGGGGGTGCGAGGGGCAGAGGGAGAGGGAGAAGCAGACTCCCCACTGAGCAGGGAGCCCCACTGGAGGCTTAATTCCACAGAATACTGGGATCATGACCTAAGCTGAAGCAGATGCTTAACCAGCTGAGCCACCCAGGCACCCCCAACAAAGATCAAAACTACTTAATATATTCGAAAAGAAAAGACTGAGTTGTCCCTAGAATTTATAAGCTTTCTATAGATCAGGATTTTTTTTCAAATGCGACTAGATTTTTCTCCAAAGGATTGGTTTGGGGATATTTTTTCCAGATGTTTGAGTCCTATCCATAGAACATCTGGACTTACTCTGTCCTGGAATTGTCATTGTCACCAGCTAGACTCCAAGGTCTGACCTTTATTGCCTACCTGCTTGTACCCACCACCTTTGTCCCATGGTTTTCTTTGAGCTCCTTTCCAGCTTATCTCTTAACTCAGGCAACTGGAAACCAAAACTACCTCTCCAGCCATGGAACTGCCACCAGCTGGCGAAGACCACCCAGACCAGTTTGAGCTTAACCCCTGACTCGAGCCTACACAGGTAGACCATGGAGTGACCTCTAAGATGACTGTCAACCAACTTTACCTCATTATAATACTACTGTCTCCACACAAGGAGGAACATAAGCTTCATTTACATAACACACCATGTGTATATAGGTATGTTTCCTTAAGGGGAATACAGGGTCTTATGCCTGCCTCTACATATGAGGACAGGGCTTCCCTATCTAAATATTCATCCTAACCCTAAATAAAAGGAACCCATTCACCCTGGCTCAGGGAAATCACAGCTTTGGAAGTTATTCCCCATGATCTCCTTATTTGCTGAAAATAAAGTTTACTTCGTGCGACAACTCCAGCTGGTGTATCTCTGACTCACTAAGGAGAGAACTCATGTTGGCTCAGTTACACTTTCTTTTTTCTAAAATCTGATGCCATATCATTCAGTAAGTTCTTACCTGAGGGGCAAACAGTTGTCTTGTTCAAATGATGAAACCTCTCCTTGTATGACTTTCTGTATTAATCCACTCTTTCTTCCTTTCTTTTTTTTTTTTAATAATCTCTACACCCAACATGGGGCTCAAACTCATAATCCTGAGCTCAAAAGTTGGATGCTCTATTGACTGAACCAGCCAGCCAGCTGCCCCCCCGTGTTGACCCACTCTTTATGAAGTTCCTCTTCAAGACTAAGAAGTTCCTCTTCAAGAATGGGGAATCATTTTATTTGTTCTTCTGCAATTCTCTTTTAGTTTTGGAGGAAAAAAGTATTTTTGTTAAGTTTGATACCCCATTAGAATTTTCTCATTGACACACTTTGACTTTTTAGTAATTATTTAATCTGATGTCAATGTTTATTTAACTTAAAAGAAAAGTTTAACCTATTAATTGAAATTCCAGTTGACGGAACATGAAGGATTTCCACCTTACGTTCTTCAGAGTCCTTTAACCACTCCAAATAGATGAAATTGAAAGAGGACTTGAATTACCTCCATTCTGGCCTCAGTCTATGCTTTCTAACTCATTAAGTTCTTTCCCACTTATCTTTTAACTCAGGCAAAAGACTTGGTGGGCAAAGCATCCTGTGATAGGAACTGAATCTACCCTGTCAAGCAGTACAACTGCCTTGATCTGACACCAGTGAGACCCCGCATGCCTGACCGCTTGACTATGATGGACGGACCTTTCCTGCCTATCTACACACACCCACCAACTTCAGTCCCACACTTTTCTTACATAAACCTAGAAGTGTTTTCAGCACTTTGGAGACAGTCTTTGGGACATTGGTCCGCTGTCTTCTTGGTGCTGGCCTCACTGAAATAAATCCCTGCCTTATTGAAGTGTGAAGTGAAGGGTGAAGGTGAAATCCCTTATTGAAGTGAAGGGTGAAGGTGAAATCCCTTCACCCCCACTCATCTCTCTGCTGCTGGATTTTATCAGGGATGATTGGCAAAGCCTGGTGTATTTGGGACACCCAGAGCCAGGTGCTCATATACCCTTGCACCCCAGTTAAAAGATTTTCCCAGACTAAGCTCAAGGCTTCTGAGCTGTGGTCAGCTGAAAAAGTAGGATAGAAGGAAGAGAAGAATAAAGCATCTCCTCAATGCTTTCAATATTTGCCAGGGATTTCTCTCTTAGTTCCTTAATTTAGTATTTCTCAGTATCATGCCTTCCTATTCTGTCATGGAAATGTTTCACTCTGCAAATCAACAAATAATATGTATCAGGGCTCCCCATCCTCCCACCCCTCAGAGCCAGTTGTTAGACATTTACCAGCAATATCACTGTTTGCATATTGAAGTTTTAGGTTTGACAGTAGTTTTATCTCAAGAACAATGTGAACTAGAAAAATGACTCCCCAATGGTCAGTTTCTCGAAGATACAATGGCCTGAATCTGACCTTCATTTAGGTCGAAATTCTACAATATGGGCAGTATGTGGGATCAGCCTACAAATCAGGTAATCTTTTTTATACATTTTTTAAAGAACAAGCTTAGTAAATCAATTGCTCAATATATACTATGTAATGTTGCCAAATATTAAATTATGAAAATAAAGATAAAGTGATTTTTTAAAAAAAA